CATTAATCCCCCTCAAAGTACTTCCCCTCACTTCAAACAAACTTATCCCATCGTTCTTGCCACTTTCTGAAGCAGTTTTGGAAGTCCTCCTTCGTGAGTGTCTTTAGTTGTGCTGTCATGGCTGCCTTGATGTCCTGAATCAATTCAAAACGTTTACCTTTCATGGTCATTTTGACTTTGGGGAAGAGTCAGCAGTCACACAGTGCCAGATCCAGTGAATAAGTGGATGAGGACACATCATAATGTTTTTATTTGACAGAAATTGCTATACCAGAAGCAATATGACCAGAAGACACAGAGCATTGTCATGATGGAGGATGAAGTAAAGACACTCAGGAAAGAGGACTTCCAGAACTGCTTCAGAGAGTGGCAAGAACCATGGGATAAATGTGTTTGAAGTGAGGGGGAGTATTTTGAGGGGAATAATGGCAATTTAAACATTCACAGTATTGTTTGATCACACCTTGTATGTAAATATAAATGTAGATGATAATGTAAGAGTAGCTACAAATGATATAACTCTAAATATAGATGTGGGTGATATATTTGACATAGATAATGTAGATGGGCAAATGTGGATTTATGACCTGGGCAGGAAAATGCAGGTATTAATGATGCAGATGACATAGATTAAGTATAGGTGATGAAACAGATATCTAGCTAGATCAATTTGGAAATAATTTTCCTAACTTGAATTTCTTTGAAGTTGGGGACCAAAACTATATAGTCATATCTCCCAGAGTAATTTGGAAGTGTTCATTAATGATCTGTTGATTGTTTAATTAGTTCTACCACTTAAGAGCCAGTAAAAGTTATCTTTCATATTTCAAGTTTTCCCATTAAGAAAAAAGACTGTCTTTAGGGAATTTTGTGGTCATTTAAAACTCCACGATATAAATAAATGCATATAAGTAGATATTTCATACACTTAAAACATATCCTGTATATATTTTTGAAACATTTTATTATGAAAAATTTCGAACATGCAGAAAACATGATACAAATTTACAAATAAGATCTGTATATCTACGACTTAGATTTTACCATTAACATTTACTGTACTTCCTTATAGCTTGTCTATCCGCCTAGCCACCGTCTATCCATTCATCACTCCCTCTTATTTGTTGATGTATTTCAAAGCAAGTGCTACATGTGTTTCTGATTGATTCCCTGGGTGTTGTTGAAGTTGCATGGTGAATTGTATGGGACATGGCATGAGCTGTGTGCTCCCATTGATCCATAACAAGTTGGAAATTAAACAAGGGTCCGTCACCACTGATGGCTTACAAAGCAATGATTTAGCACACCAAAGGGGTTTGGGGGATGATGAAAAAGAATGGCAGAAAGCCAATGGCTGTTGAAGCTAGGTGATGGGCACATAGCACAATTCCCACTACTTTTGTCAAGTTTGAAAATCTGCATCATTTGGTTTATTAAAAAGTTTTTTAAACAGCGCAGCCTGTCAATGGAGATATTTTAAATACATATATTTTCAATGTGTATATTTATATCTAAGCATACAGTGTGTGTGTTTCCAATAAAATGCTATTGAAACGACACACAGAATATCTAGTCCACATAGGGATTACATGTAATGGTTCAAGTAAAACTTTACAGAAGTTTTAGGTAAACAGAAAGTAATTTGCTGGATCACGAGCTTGGTGAGCTTTTATTATATAATAAATTCTGATTATGTAATAAAGTCCTTGAGGCCACAGCTCCTGTTAGATACTTCTGTGTCTCCACAGCACTTAATCCAGGGTACTGCAGAGTAAATGGTGCTTAATAAACACTGGCTGATAGGCTAAACTCAGGAAATGAATTGTGATGAACAGTAGTTTAATTCTCCATGCAATAACGCCACAGAGCTCAATCAATTTGGAAATCAGTTTCGTGAATCCGCCTTCACAGATATTTGCACAGAATGTTTGAGCTTGAGGGGGACTTGGAGCTTTGCTAATGTCCTCATTTTGCAGACGGAAATGAGGCCTGGAGGAGTTACATGAGCCTCACTGAACATCCCACTTCTTAATGGCAGTGTTGTTGCCTCTGACGCCTACAAAGGGACTCTTCCTTTTGCCATGATGTTTCTCAGAAGGTACAAACCCACCTCCCACCCCCGCCTCTTGCTCCTGGCTTAAAATTATATGGGTTTAGTTGTAGCAAAGAGAAAAAAGTTGTCAAGCTGGCACCACCAGGAGGCTGAACAGGAACTATGATGCCAGAACAAGTCCATGTCATGGTCAATATTTACCCAGCCCTATTCTGTGCCTAGCCTGGGTAAGATAAGCTCTCTGGCCTTCAGGAACTTTCTGTCTAGTGGGGAAAGGAAGATGTATGCATGTTAATAGTTAGAGGATGATTCTGCTGTGTAGGAGTAAAGCATAAATGAGCTGTTGGGTGGAGCCGTGGGGCCCGGAGAAGGGATAGGATGTTTTGGAGACCACTGCACTTGGATGTAAGGTTCAAGGACTGAGGAGAGGGGGGAACACCCAGGTTAGAATAGCGTGGACCTGGGTTTGTACTTCACCCTGTTGGTATTAAGGAGCTTGGGAGGTTTCTGTGGAGGATGGGATGGCATCCATTATTGACTGGATTTAGGAAGACCAATATGGTAGCAACACTGTCTGGGAGAGACTGACAGCAGGGCGAATCTTGAGGAGGGCCTTTAGGAGATGAAAGCTTGGAACAGGTGATGGCAGTGGGAAGAGAAAGAAAATGCAGGTGTAAGAATAGTTTTCTCAGACAAGTGTTTCTCCAGAAGCAATGAGAGAAAAAGGCCATTGGGTTGCAAACAAGCAAATAGGCATGACTCCGGTCCACACACTTCTTGGGCTGTGTAAATCATTTCTCCCAAAGCAGCTGTCATTTGGATCACCTTAACATTTTCTTCCTCTGAATGTAAACTTGCTCATGAACATTGAGTTCTCTGACAAATAGTGAAAGTGATTTTCCCCTGGAGAAAAAAGTAGAGTTTGAGGGAGCCAGTGACCTGAGATAATGGGAATGGAGAGAGGAAAAGATTATAAAAACACTTACCAATAGTGTCATCTGCAACTTTTGTAGTCTTATTTGTTACATGTAGGTCTTTAATCCATCTGGAATTTTTTGTGTGTGTATAATGTGAGGTGGGAAATCTCACCATTTATTGACTAGTTAGGTAATTCAACCTTTATGAATGCTTTGAAATGTTACCCTTAACACATACTAATTCCATCAGTATCTTCTTATTCTCTTGCTTAAAATCCAGAAGTCATTTAGCATTGTCTTTAGAATAAAATCCAAATTCGTCTTCCTGGCTTAAAAGGCCCTAGCCTGCTTCTGAAATTCATCTACGCCTCTGTCCTCCACATACTGTGCTTCCAACATGGGGCTTCCTTCTGTCCAGACACTTCGAGCTCATTCCAGGATAAGTTTCACATGAATTTCACATGTGCTCATTCTTTTTCTGGATGCTCCAGCCTTTGTGCAGCTGATTTTTGTGAATCCTGCAGCTCTCTGCTCCAATGCCACTTTTTCCATCTTTCTCAGACCACCCAGTCTAAAGCGGCCACCTCAGGCCCTACCACATCATCTTTGATTATCCCAGAGCATCTAGAATTCATTTTGATATCAGAAGTGAGG